CCATTGAATTTCACATAGCCTTGCTTTCCCAAAAGTTGTTCTCATCCCGGCTGGAGTAGACTGCAGTTTCAACCTCGCATCGGTCTTATCAACACCCCCAGCAGGAGTCGAACCATCAACTCAACTTATATCATTGTGGGAAAATTCTACTACCAGTCCTTCATCACCTTAGACGAAATTGGGTGAATACATCTCATATTACTGATTTACTGATAGTCTCAAAATTCTACTCTTATAAGGAGCTGCCTCAAAAAATAGTTGGCTTTGCAGAAATGAAATAATGGAACTATCCCAGATTAATTATCTGAAATAGCAGTCCTGATTATTTTTAGCATCAACTCGTTGACATGATAGACTAACAGACATTTCGCCGGCATCATCATTGAAAAGAGTAATCGTTAGTCTCGAGCTGAAACTCTTCAGACGGTGCTGAAAATAATCAAGACCCCTATTGCAGCGGAGGCAGAACTAAGTTAGCTTTTCGAGATCACGACAAAGTTGCCAAAACGAAGACCGACCAATTCTGAAAGGTGAAAGGAGATTCATAAAAAAACAGAATCATTGCCAAACCAATCACAATGACATAAGAGTGAATATAGCCCTTATATGAAATCGATTCTTATTCTATAAGGCCTGCTTACAAAGCGGAAATTACAAGTTTGTCTCATCGACAATTTTACTCTTTAATCTGAAATGTGAGAGGCCTGACCTTTTTTTAAATTCAAGTCTGCCCCAGAGGCACTCAGTGACAGTCCCGTTTCGTTGCGCTGTGTCCAGGTTATACGCCACAGCACTCTGACTTGAAACTTAGGCGAGACCGAAACTGCAATCCCATCTAGCTGGGATGAGGATACCTTTTAGGACACAGGACTATATGAAATTCAGAGGAAACATGAGACCTAGAGTGACTGGAACTCTTTTTCATGATTTGTTGGTGGTTTCAAAACCTACTTCATTTGAATAAAAGCAAATATATTTTGCATTTTCTTCTATCTCGGCTTTCTCCACAGGACAGCGACAGAGATGGCATTCTAAATGAATATGATGATGACGATGACAATGATGGCATCCCTGATCTGGAGGATGAAGATGCAAACGGTGATGGCTCCATTGACTGCGTTGTCAAAGTGAGGGCCAAAACAGTATCACCAACAGTTTCGTGTTTTAATGTATTGCCCAGATCTTCCTTACTTTATTCTACATCTTCAGACTAAACTAGGCGTTGTCGACAAAGACTAGGGTCCTTCAGTGATCGCATTGCCCAGTTGTATTTAAGAGCAAGCTAGCTGATATGCAACCCATCTGCATTCACGGGCATCAGGTACCACTTGAGGGTCTCAGTGACCTTAAATATTGCCAGTAAAACTGGTGAAAGTTGTCGCTTATAAGCTACTCAAGAAATAGACAGTTTGTTTGCTACTGAGTGAAATGTATCACATGAAAATTGAGTTTTTCCATATTCGCATCATCGTGTGTGAACATCACCTCCTCCCTGCCTCCTCGAGATTTAGCCAAAAATTGTTAAAGGTATCATTGATACCAGACCATGATGATTCTCGACAGCCTCATTCTTGACTCTATTGAGTAGGTGATGAACCTGCACATTTTATGTGATGACATACTTCTTTTGAGAAGACATCATTTTTAAAAAAGCCTCACAATGGCAAAATATGCTGTAGTATCACACTTTGAAATGGAATGCTTCCAAATAAGCTCTCCGCAGTCGAAAGACGACCTTCCAATGCCACCCGGTAAGACTACTTTATGATGTCATTAAATGCAATTTGTCTAGACCATTTAACCTTGACAACTTTGTGTTGATGTTAGGCTCTGTTGTAATTATTCATACTTATGATTGGTGGTTTCATACTCGGGCTTACAGAAGTACAGGCACTTGGCCAAACATGTACTTAGTAAGATTAATTGTAAAAATGCTATTTCTCTGCAAGTATGTTCATGCTGTATTCTTTTCTCCTGAGCCTATCTGACTTGATAGGCTGGGCCAGTTATTCTCCTTATTTTGGTGTTTACTTGAATCTGTTTATGAGAAAGAGATCCAAGTCCGACGAGGCTCGACCCATTTTTGCCCATACCGAAGAAGAATGTCTCGTTGACTACCTTAACGAGTTTTGTGGAAAAAAATCGAACGATTGCAGACCGACTTACGAGCCTCTTCATCAGGCACGTTTGCACAACAGCAACGTTGTCTTAGATGATTTTGCGAAATTCTCTGGGTCTTCGTAGAGATGGAGGAAAAGAGTTAAACTATGGAGACTGAGACGTCAATCTGCGGTTGTGGAAACTAGGGTTGGAGAAGCAGTATTCGGTAGGTTCGTCCAAGGCATCCTGACGACACGACCAGGTTCCGAAGAGGCGGTCAGACTAGTCTTGGAGACTAAGTTTGGCCAAAGAGATTCCTCAACAGAAGAAGTGGTACTAAGATTATTTCAGAATTTACAACTGCCTTAAAATGTCGGCAATGCGTTTTCACCACTAGCCTTTTGTCTTGTTCTTAATTAACCCATTGTCTTGCACCCATTACCAAGGATTCCGACCGTGACGGGATACCTGATCACGTCGATTTGGATGATGACAACGACGGTGTCCACGACCTGAAAGATTCCAATCATCCTTTGTACAACTTCTTCAGTGACAGTGATAAAGTGAGCTGCCCTCTCAAGTCTGAAGCCTTTACTTTGATTTTCACACATCCAAACTTTGAAGGGTTGACTCGAGGTTTACACTTTAGCTGACCTTCTATTGGTTAAATGCTCCTTATGCTCTATCCTGCGTGAAATGTAGGCGTTTTGGCAGCCAATCACAGCAGGCCAAGCAGTAATACGTGGTTAATTACGGTTGGTTGGAAGTCCAGCTTGCAAATATAGCTTCCTTGAATGTCCAACGGAGCGTACAGAATTTTGTGTCCTTTCTTCCAAATATGCATCTTTAATTTCATTCCTTGCCTAATTATATATACATGTATATACTACTCTTTGTGTGAACTACTAAATTCTATAATTGCGCTTTCGTGATGTTCACCGAAAGTTATGGAAATAATAAAGAGGCACATTTGGTGGGCCGTTGGTGGTGGTGATAGTTGTGAAACCTACAACGAATTGAAGTTCCAACTTGCTACAGTCATAAGAACCGACTGAATTTACCTCTTTGCTTCTGCCGACTACGGTACAGCCTTTCATGTTCTCAAGTCGTGAAGTCATGTTCTCTTAACTTGGTGATGACACATTCGTCAACTTCACCAGAAGAGCATTAATGATGACATTTGCGCTTTTACACTCGATCTGGCATGATCTCACTTTTGGCACGGCTAACACTGACAACGGGAAATTTGTGCTGAGCTCCTTCATTTGCCATGCAGCAGAATGCTTTAGGAGAACTAGCCTTCAATCAATCTCGATTTGCTCTAGGCTCTTGCAATGCCGGCCTGGTCATGTCGTAATCAATCCAAGCCGATAGATGTTCCGAGAACCGAATCAAAGTGGAATCCACTTTCCTAAACATTATAGCAACCAAATTGGGACAAGCTTTTTGAGAGCTGCAATCACAGCGAATTTAATTGACATTCTCGTTTGTCACGTCAGCTCATTGGCATGAAGCCCCTGTGCGCCTGTCTATAATAGACGAGTGAGACTTGCTAGTACAACTTAAAACCCACTGGTACCCTTTCTCCCTTTCTTCTCAATTTGCTGTAGACTATCGTATCTTTCCTACCAATTTTTCAACCTTAATTTTATTGACCAAGATGTTGTGGCCTCTGTTATGGTCACAGTCTCCTTTCGATTTGTAGAAGTGGGTTCACCTCGTTGTCGCAACTTGGTCTTGTTGTCAGGGGGACTATGTAGAACGTAGCTAGTCCGAAGTCGTCAGCATTAGTAGTTGTCGTGATTCCCAGCCTCTCTGACAGTGGACTTGATACCATCTCAAACAGAAAGAGGAGTGATAGTTTAACCGTTTTCGGCAGAACCGTTGTCGAGGCATTGACTTCACTTGTCTCTTTGACGAGTTCGTAGGTTGGTGCGGAGAATGGCAAAACTGACGGATGATGCCGACTACGATGCCGGCGAAACGTATGAGAATGTATCAAGTCTACTGTCAGATGCTGGGAATCATGACAACCACTATGGTAGACGACTTCGGACTAGGTGTGTTCTAAATAGTCGCCCTGACAACAAGATCAACCAACTTCTTAATTTTATTATTTGCCAAACTATTGCTTAACTATCCATATCTATATATATGAACAAATGAAAAATGCTGCATTGAGGAAAATCTGGAGAATTTTATTGTCAGTACGTGATAAATTACCCGAAGAGATTAGATACAACAACAAAAATCACCTTAAACGAAATAGGATGAATACACTTCATATAAAAAAAATATAAATCCTAGTCAGCCTTGGTCGTTTAAGGTCGTGGAATTTTTCCACGATAATTTCAATAGGACCAGATGCCATTGAATTCTGATCCATGTTTCGTTTTAGTCTGGGTCTCATCAGCACCCCTGACGGAAATCGAGCCATGTTGTGGGAGTGCAGCGTTTACTTTCAACATTTTACTACTACGCTATACTGCGAGGATGCAGGGAAGACGTGAATTTTCGGGAAGGCCAGGCCTCTTCTATATCACATTTATAGTGGTTCTATCGATGAGGCAAACTTGCATTTTATTGTGACATTACTTTCCAGTTCGAAGGAGAAGTTGGTTGGAAGGAAACTGTAAAATTGTCTTGAGGTGAGGTAGGCTGATAAGACTGTTGGAAAATTCAATTATCAGTCCTCCATCACTCTTATTCAAGCTTTAATGATATACTCGAATTCTATTTAACATGAATACAAAAAAATACGGAAAAGACGTGAGCCATTTAGGGTTTTTGAGTATGCGCTTTAATGACCCGATCCCGTCAGAATTATACTGCTCTCACTTTAAGGAAGATCGGTTTTCTCATATCGTTCGTATTTGTGGCGAATATTTGTATAACAAGTTTGGCCTCTAATACAATTTTTCAAGTTTCGTCTTTCATACTTTGGATATATCTAAACTAAACAATGGATTGTTGAGCTTACTTCCATTTCGAGTGAAAGTGTTGGGTGAAGTGATTCGAAGATTGGTTCCACCAGAAGACGACGGCGGATTGCTCTTGACCAGCTGTCGATTGGCTCTACTGGAACATTCATGCTAACGCTGTTTCCGAGGCAATCTGCTTCGATTCCGGTGAAAAGGTGCTAAGCTTTCGCG